TTAAATTAAAAGTTATAATTTTTTTTAAAGAAATTTTTGTAATCTTATTTTTGAGTCAACTTTTTTAGTAATATGTTTAGCTTTAAAACAAAATATATTAAAAATTATTATTATTATTTAAAATTATTTAATTGGTTTTTTTTTATTATATCTTAAAATTAAATTATAAAAAAATTGTTATTTTTTTTTTGCACTATATTGTATAATTATATATCTGTTATATATATTCTTTTTTATTTTTTTAAAAAAATATATAAGATTTTTCTCTTAAAAAAAAGTGTTTTGAAAAGTTATTATTATTTATTTATTTCTATTTTTTATATCTTTAAATAAATAAATATTATTTTAATTTTAGATAATTTTTTTTGTTTCAAACTATATTTAAAAAATATAAAAAAGTTTTAAAAATCAAATAATTATTTTTTAAAAAATTTAAAATTTTTAAAAAAATTATTTTATTTTATTTTTTTTATTACTTATAGAAATATAAAAAAGTTTATTTTAAAAAATAAAAAATAAAATAAAATAAAAATTAAAGTTTTTAAAAATAATAGTATTAGAAAAAGTATATAAACTTTATTATAAAAAAATAAAAAAATTTTTAAAACATTCGTTTTTTAGATTAACAAAAAAATTAATAAAAAAGTTTTATCATATTATTTTATATTATTTTTATTAAATTTAAATTAATTATTTATTATAATCGATTAAATTTTTATTTTATTAATTATTTAATAAATTCTATAATATTAAAAATAACAATTTAACTAATTACCTCAGATAATAGGGGACAATTAAAATAAAATAAATAACAATTGTATTTTGCTGTTTTTTTTGCAACACGCTATAATTAATTAAAAATAAACACGTAAATAGCAATGTAAACATTGTGTTACCATAAAAGTTTAGAACTACAACGTAGCACGTAAACAGATGTACATTATATTACGACTCTGGATTATGATTGGTCGAAATTTGTGTGTAATATGGAAATATAAATGTGATATATATTTTATTTTTCTTTTTTACCTTTGTAGTTAACGTTGAAATTTACATATTTGTGTTCATATTAAGTTCAACGCCTTTATTCACCATCGAAAATATGCCTAAAGCTCCTAAAACTAAAAAGGTAAAGACAACTGAAACTAAGCCTACAAGAAGATCGAGTCGCATCGCAGCGAAAAAAGCAACCGACCAAAAGGTACAAGGGTTATATAAGGGAACTGCAGCGAGAACAAAATCTTCGGCTAAAGGTAAAAATATTTTATTTGCTTTCGCCGTTCTATATTAGTAATGGAGTGAAGTAAATTGCACAAGCCATATTTTATAAATAAAGGAGATATTAGTTTAGTCTGTCACTTAGGGTAAATTTTTTACTAATATACAAAATCAATGGACTCAAAAAAGGGAAGAAAACGTAAATCGTGTGGTCAGATACTCTACTGGGATGCATTCCGCAAATTTATATTTTATCGAAGCTGTTATGATTGTTAAAAGCAAGCTATTCAGTGTGAGTCGAGATGCGTTCAAATAATGTATTTGTTACATTCGTTTTTAATTCACTAAATTTGTTTTTTGCTGGTATTCTAGGGGTGACGCCTTATATGATAGTCATGTAAATAGTTAACATGAGTTTTTATTACGATGATGCTTAGATATTGTATATAGAAAGAAAAACTTTTCAGGAATTTAATAAATTTGCACATTTCGTGAGTAAAAATCAACGTATCTTTTCTTAAATAATATTGTCACGAATACGAATTTGAATAAAATATTTTGCACGTAATAAAGAATGATGTTGCATACATTTAAGTAAAAATTGTTAAACTATATTTATTTTGAAATGAAATGTCTTTAAACATTAAAATAAATTATAGTTACATTTGATTTTATTTTATTTTTTTGGTTGACATGCTATTAATGTATTATATATTTATTTTTTTTAAATGTTATTTGTTATAAATAAGATACATTATTTATTTTCATAATCAAATAAATACTTATTGTGTTTACTTAATCTTAACACTAGTTCAAATAATTTAAAATTAATAAAAATATATGCTGTTTGATTCAATTTATGTTATTAAATATTTAAGAAATTTGACAGTAATTTACAATATTTAGTAAATTTAAATTATTTATATAAAATTCAGTATAATAATTAATTTTTTATTATACAGTTTAATTTAATAATTTAATATAATTGTAATAACAATTAATTAATTTTTATAAAATTAGTCAAAATTAAAATTAAAATTATAAAATTTTATTCATAAATAATATTTTTGAAAAAAAACAAATTTGTTTATAATATTTAACAATTGTAAGTAATAGTTGATAAATATAATTAAAAATATAAAAAAATTTAATTAATTATATATTTTTTTCTTATTTTTTTTATATTATAATACAAAAAAAACAAGAATTTTTTAGATGTATGTTTTTATTAATAAATTAATATAAAATTATTTAATATTATAAAACTTTAAAACTCTTTCTTACAATATTTTAATTTATAAAAAAAATTTTTTTTTGATAATATTATAAATAATAAACAGTAAATAATCAATAAAAATATTTTTTTATAACAAAAAAAAATAATTTTTAATTTATTACAAAATACAAAAAACCTGATTAACTTTTTATAAAAAGATGAATATTTTGAAAAAGACACATTTATTTGAATAATCTTTTGTTTTATTAAATAAAACTTATATAAGTAACTTTTAAATTAAAAAAAAATTTTTTTTATATTTCTATATATTATTATTTTCTTTAAAATATTTTATATACTTTTTTTTTTCAAATATATATATATATACTGTATATTAAAAAACAATATTTTATTTTATTAAAGTTTTTGTTTTTTGCTAATAATAACTATTATTAAATTAATAATTATAACTTTTTAGTTGATTATTAATTTTTACTTAACTTTATATTTACAAAAAATTAAAATTTGCTTATTGTTATTTAAAAATTTATAATATATAAACTAATAATTACATTTGTTTTATCTTATTATATCAAAACAATACAATAACTTATCAAGTTAAAAAAATATATAATTTGTATTCTATATAAGTTTTTGATAATTTTAAAAACAATAATAACAATTTTATCCAATATAACAAATAAATTATAATTAAAAAAAATATTATTGAATTATATTTTTATATATTATTAATTTAATTATTATACAAATTAAATAAAAAGATAATGTTTTTTTAAGGAGGTTTTTCCAGTAGATAAACATCATTTCTTTATTTTGATTTGTATATAATAAGATATATATTATTGAAAAAAAAAATATTTCTTTTATTATTT